CAGAGGAGTGGGTTCCAGAGGAGATTGATACATCCAAAGATGACAATGACAATGATGTTCATGATGTGTATTCGGATGCTGCTCAAGATGCTGTTGAATCGGGAAGCAGAAACATTGTTGATATCTTCTCTATTCATTCAGCTAACAATGATACAGGTACTAAGTATGATTAGGCTGTCTATTCTATTGATATAAGATCAGTTTTAGCGTATTTGCTTATTTCCAAATCTATGTGATTCCCATATTTATCTCTGGTAGTATATTGTTATAAATCAAACTTTCCCTGTAACAAACACTTTTGCAGGGATCACTTATCATACTGTGGCAGATACTCCACCCGATTCTGCGACTAAGAAGGGTAAGGCGAAGAATTCTACTGTTTTTGACATTTGGAAACATCAATTCGTGGATGCAATAACGGTAAAAATCTTCAACTTACCAAGTGTTTTCTAGATTCTTCTATATCCTATTTTGGGCTTTTGATCATTATCAACACATCTTTCTTAACTTGTTTCTCTTCATATTCGTAATCAAACAGTTGGAAACATCAGAATCAAAGAAAGTGGATAGCATTTATCTTCGAATCGCGAAATCTTTCTGGCATTTGCTCCTCGCCCCTTGGAAACTGCTTTTTGCATTTGTGCCCCCCTGCAACATTGCTCACGGTTGGATCGCTTTCATCTGCTCTCTCCTCTTCATCAGTGGAGTAGCCTTTGTTGTCACAAGATTTACCGACCTTATAAGCTGTGTCACTGGTACACACCCTCACCGCTTTCAAAAACTGAAGTTATAAGATTAAACATTTGAGCTCTAAAACATTAGAAACTCTTTTCATCTTGCAGGAATAAACCCATATGTGATAGCATTCACAGCACTCGCAAGTGGAACTTCATGGCCAGACTTAGTAGCAAGTAAAATCGCTGCAGAGCGACAACTAACCGCAGATTCAGCTATTGCAAACATCACCTGCAGGTAAAAATCTCAAAACCCTTTACAAACATTGAAGATCTTTTCATGATCTTTTTGGTGATAAATTATGCAGTAACTCGGTGAACATCTATGTGGGGATTGGAGTTCCGTGGCTGATAAACACAGTCTACAACTACTTTGCATACAGAGAGCCTTTATACATAGAAAACGCTAAAGGATTAAGCTTTTCGCTTCTGATATTCTTTGCGACATCAGTGGGATGTATCGTGGTGCTTGTGTTGAGAAGGTTGATTATAGGAGCTGAGCTTGGAGGTCCAAGGCTATGGGCTTGGCTTACTTCTGCCTATTTCATGATGCTTTGGGTCGTCTTCGTTGTTCTTTCTTCTTTGAAAGTTTCAGGCGTCATATAGAAGAAGCAACAAAAGGAAAAACCCCATGAGTAGAAGAAAAAGTCTTAGCTTACTTGCACATGTCTCAGTTTTTGTTTTTCTTACTTGTTAAGGGGGTTTTATATAATTATCAAAGTTCAAAGGCAGTTGGCTAAATATGTGTTGCAAATATAAATCATATTGACTATGATTTTGGAGGCTTCATCTTTAGTTAGGAGGTGCATATATGGAGTACATTTTCATTATCCTGCAGTTTTTTTTTTATTATTTATTTGCAGTGTTACCAATTTGTGGTACATATATGCAAACTTTCTCTAAAGTCAAGCAAATAATCTTAGTCGATTAATATAAACTTTTATATGTAACTTTCATCCAAGTAACTAGTGTTTAGTACGGTTCTTTAATAAGTGTTGTAGAATTTCTAATGCCCATTTACCACGAAGTGCATATTCTAGTTGCTGCTTTCTTCTGATATTAGTGACATCTTAATATTCCTGAATTTAATATTCATAGACACAACTACTTCGGTTATTTTCTAAGATACATTCTCAAGTCTTAACCACAAAGGAGAGCGTCTCAAATTGTAGAGACTTTTTATGGAATGAGTATCCGAAATGTTTAGAACAGGGAACGGACAACTTGATTGAGCCAAAAAAAGAAGCTTAGATTTTAATCTCCTGACACTCAAGTTTCAAAAGAGAGCAGTAAAGTCCTGTCCGGATAGCAAATTAATCCACCATACACCAGAGTAGGGCAAAGAAACAGGTCGCTTCTAACTTTTCCGGTCACCTGAAAGTTTTCAAATGTTTAAGCAAAGGCACCGGTACAGGCTGTAGCCGGACCAGCCTCGACCTGCGTCTTCGCTGAGCTGTATTTCTTGGTTATAAACCTGTTCCAAGTTTAAACACACATCAAAGAGAGAATCAGACAAAATACAAATTCTACATTTCTACTAGGGGGCAAGTTAAGAAAGTAAGAGCTCACCTGAAGAAATCCCTCCATAGCAACTCATACATTAACCAGTTGAGTCCTGTATCTCCCGGTCCGTTCCTGAGAAAATCATTTCAAAGAATGATAATTAGACACATACACTTACTATGTTCACCAGAGTTCCCTGAAGTGTTTTGCGTTTCTGAGACATACCTTGGAGTTGTGGTGGTGGTTGATGCGGAGATTGTTTTCTTCAGCTCATCGAACATGGAACGAGGAGAGATGCTTCCCATGGCTAACCAAGGTGATATCTTGCAAGAGAAGTTTGCACCAAAGACACTGTTGTTGCCTCCTTTCTGGTTTCCCTTGCTCAACCGAGCCTGACAATCCGCGGCAAAGCTCTTTAGTCTAGTCAACGCCTCTGTCTCTCCTCCAACCATTGTCGGTTTCCCCTCCTGAGCAGAACAAAATGTTAACTCCTAAGAGAAGGTGTAAGACAGTAAGAGCCGCAGACGAATATTGGACCTAAAGAGAAACGTTCATTGATCCTAAGAAGAATCCATGGACCTTCAAACAGCACTACTACTATTAACAATTGATAGTACTTATCCCTATCACTCTATGGGTAAGTAGCTCTTCTCCTATAGAAATGGAACCAATTGGCAGAGTTTGAATTATAAGTCCCACAAGTTTCCACCTTTTCTAAATGCCTAAACCTAGATGGATAAAGGAATCAATCAAGCTAAGCAAAGATGAAGAACTCAAACCTGGCTAGTCCTAGGAGTGGGGCTAATGCCAAGATCCAGGAGAGAAGGAATATCGCCAAGCTCAACGTCTCCTCGAGAGGGCAAGCTTTTCAATTGATCAAGCGCTGCGATAGTCTTCCTAATCTCCAATTTCTGAACTTTATCCTTGAAACCTCCGTAATTTGACGGCAAGTCTTCAATTTTGAAGGGCAAATCATCCAAATGATAGAGAGTGCTTCCCCAGAAATACTTGACTTCAACGCCTTCCTCCTTCATCGCCGTCTCTATCTTCCCTTCCGCTTTAACCTCGTCGTGAGACACTTCCCTGTGAGCATAAACCGCGTCTGCTCCAATCTCCTTAGCCAATTCCACCAAAACAGCTTCAGGTTTCCCGACACGGACAACTAGATTCGACCCTCTGGCTTGGAGATTCTTCCGGAGCTCCGAAACGGACTCAATCAGAAACTGGGCACGAAAAGGCCCCGTTTTGTCGAAGCCGGAAGAGGACTTGCCGTAATCTCTAGGGTCGAAGCAGTAAACGGGCAAAACGGAGACGCACTCGTCGTTGGCGGAGTTGAGACACTCGTTGTCGTGGAGACGGAGGTCATTGCGGAACCAGACGACAGCAGCACGGCGGAGGGCGGCGGCGGAGGAAGGATCAACGGGACGACGAGGGACGATGGAGAGAGGGGATTGAAGAGGGTTAGCAGCGATGGTGGATTTGAAAGAGATTCTGGAAGAAGGAAAAGGAGAGACAGAAGAAAGAGAGAGATGAGTGAGAGAAGAGGCCTGCGTAGGGATCTTAACCTTGTTTGGATGATGAGCAAACAATTTGAGAAATTGAGTCGAGGATGGGAACAAGGTCAGAGAAAGAGATGCGATTGGTAGAGAAGAATGGAAAATGGCAAGTGGGTTTTGTTCTTCTGCGGATTTTGTTTCTGGGTTTAGGTTTTCTTCAACATTCGAAGAATCCATTTTGTGTGTGTGTGTGTGTGTGTGTGTAGAGAGAAGAGAGTGAAGAAGAGTGTGAGATGAATTGATAAGCTCTCGTCGATTTTCCCCACACAATTTCTTCTGTTTAGATCAAATATTTTAATAAAATGTATTTAAAATATATCGTAGCACTGTTATTTTATTTTCAACTTTAGAAATATTGATTGATTTTTTTCTATTATAAACACTACTAATGAAGGAAAAAAATACGAAATTTCTTAACATTTTTAAATCCTATTATAGTTCTGAACAGTTTTATTGAAATATATTTTGTCAATTAATATAAAATTTGAAATTAAAATTTTTGAATAATAAATTTATTTAAAATCATAAAGGTCTCAATTATAAGTTTCCTATGTTTTATCATTTTGCCATTTTTACACATATAAAAAAAGATTTATAAAAATGAAGATAAAACTAACATTATTGTAAAACCAGAATAAAATTTGAAAATGACAAAATTAGAGATTAAAGTAGCTAAAGTACAGTTTCTGATCTTCAAACAAGTGATTAATTCGATCTTACAGATCATGGGACTCTCCATATATTCGTTCCATTTTGTGTATATGAACCTCTGATCAATGCGTTACATATGCTGCAAAAACCATCACAAAAGCTAAATGTATAACTCTGTAGGTAATTTGAAACGAATAACGGTCCATGCAGTGAAGTATACAACCACAAGTTCGAAAACACTCTCGTAATTAATGCAAGCCAAAGAGCTCAATGAGAACTATATATGGCGAAGACAGAGCTTGAAATTACCCTTTTAGTTTCATGTGCATTGTGCACCGTCAATCCCATCTAGAAACGCTACATTTTGGTCAGCACACAATAAGGTTCAAAATAACCAAAGCAACACTTACATATATGAGAACTATAAAGATTTAATCAACCGTCGAACACAAATGATTTAACACACATATACACACAAACAACGAAGAGCTAGTCAAGAACAACGAAAAACACATTATCAATAAGGTTTAAGGGATATATAACATCAATGGGTGAAGAGCTCATGTTGGAGAAGTTGAGTACGTGCAAATAAGCAAATGAGACGGATTTCGTGTTTGTTGGTTTGCACGTGCCCTGCTTCTCCAACATGGAGATTCTCACCCGCATTTCCAAGCACGTGAGGGGCGTTTGTAGTATGAGAACTTTGGTTATGGAAAGGTTTGTATATATAGGCCCAAAGATTGCATTAATGGAAGACTAGGTCACACGCACATCCGTATATGTTATGTGTGTGTGTGTGTGTGCTGGCGTGAGTGTGTTTTACGTAAGGCAAAAGAACCATACCATGCCATGATGGCATCTCACGCAAAAGAAGGGTTGAACTAAAAAAGTGAGAGAGTGAAGAGAGCTAAACGATCGCTAGCTAGGGCCAAACAATACCTTGTCTAATAACTGCTAAGTTTGAAAGCTTTTTTTATTCCATATTATTGTTTTTTTTATGTGGGGGCTTGTCTGCCCTAAATTTCACAAACTCTACATATATAAGTGCTAGGTTGCTAGGCGTACCATATTGTATTATTGCTAAGATCCTATGGAGCCGGTCACGCGTTGACAAGCAAGACCTTAGACCTCTCTCACGACTAATCTATGGCATGGTAAAAAAATACAGTATCCATATTCTTTCACTTCATCAGAAGGATTAGAATGAATTACCGGTATATACCAAAATAAACTGGATATCCACTAGTTCCTCACTAATAATCTACACTTAACTTTGTTTCAGTTTATATTGAAACTCTTCAAATTCAAATATTGATATACATTATACAATATATATATGTATCTGTAAATTTTCTACTACATAAATGATTTTTTACCTCTATCGATCGATATGTAAGTATATAATGATGATAAATGCCGAAGCATAAAGAACCATTTGAATTAATAACATACATGTGCGTGAGAGAGAAGGGTCAAAAAGGGCAAGGTGGGTCGTCAAAGACTGTTGGGGGCAAAAGAAGAGAGGAATAATGAAAGAGTGCACGTAGGGCTTTGCGTGTTGTCCTAACTTTCTCTAACATGGAAAAAAAAAAAGGTCCCTATGTTGATACCATTCCTCCCTCTTTCATTAGTTGATTGTGTATATTATATATATGGTCTATGATTAATGTATAATCCTCCTCAGTCCACACATGGACTCAGGATAGGTAAATATGATCTCTAGATTAATGGTCTTACTATAGCTAGTTAAATTGTTATATAGTAATTGAAGATGCTAGCAAGTGATCCATTAATGTTTAAAGTGGTGATTCATTGGACATATACATAATGACCCATTAATGTTTTACTACTAAGTACTAAGATAAGCTAGTAAGCAAGAGCTGAGATACAGAATAACACTAATTAGGCAGTGTGTGTCACACAGACCAGAGAGGCAGAGATGAATCAGCAACAAATCTTTTGTCTTGTAAAAAGAGGAGACAGAGTCAGACAATGAAGTCATCACCAAATCTATAAACACATGCATTAATGCTTTTACGTGTCCGTATCACACTCGTGTTTCCCACTAAATGCTCACTCATTTATTGAACCATCGTCTAATTAATGCTTTTGATAACTTAAATGCATGGAGGAGTGTCCTTCGCCCAATATTTCAAAAAGGAGAGAGCTCACTCAATTCTCTTGACGCACGAGTTTTGGACCTAATAATCGCTGACCTCATCAGCAACAAAGAAAAACAGCTACACTACAAAGACTTTTCTTTCACCAATCCAACATCAAATAATGATTGCTTCTTGTTTCTCTTTTATTAGATATCCAAGAATTCGTAAATAAAAAAGAACAAACCAATCATCCATAAACCTTTAGTTCAAAGTTCACTTTGCGAGTTTTTACTTTAATTCATTATAGTTTCGTTTAATCAGTCAAATTAAAGGTCTTCAGTTATCTGATCAAATATGGAAGAAGAGGCTTATCCATAAGTGGAAGAAGGTGACGAAATATTAGATAGACAAACACCAAATCGAGACGCTTATTGTCTGGATGAAAAAATTGTAAGTTAGATGATTGTGTAATATTCTAAGCAATTCTACAACAAACACACAAGAAAGACAAGTTTCCTTCTTGCGCAAACCATGGAAGAAGTAACATTGACAGATACAAACATATCTCATCGAAACACAAATAAAACGAAATTGTCTATTTCTTGGCATACGTGATGAGCATCTGGTTTTGCTGAATCTTGAAACCTTGAAGTCCCTGCATTGCGACCGTCGACTGCATCTCATCAGCAAACTCCACAAAGGCGATTCCCGGTTTGGCTTCAATCATTCTAACTTCCTTAAATCCTTGGTACTGGCAGAACAACATCTGAAGCACCATTGGAGTTGTCTCGTGAGGAAGGTTTTGGACAAAGAGAATATTATTTGGCGGAGCTGGTGCCTCGGGCATATTGGGTTTCATACCACCAGGGTATGGTACTTGCGATAGCTGTGAAAAGCGTGGCAATAAGAACGATCATCAGAATACAGGAAAAGAATTAAGAGCGTCCCCCAAACGTATGAATCAAGATTAGAGTTAAGAAGATGTTGAAATAACTCACAGGAGGTGCAGCTCCATAGACACCTGGATATGCTGAGTTCATGGGCATGCCCATCTGTGTAGAATCATGGTGCTGGTCTTTCTTTTTCTTGCCGCCTCCTGCACTTCCAAAGACGATATTTAGATGCGAAAACAAACTGTTTGTAGGTTGTGGAGAAGCAATGTGAATGTGATGTGACTACTAATGATCAAATGCAGAATGTGGGAATGAGAAACAGAGCAATAAATCTCATGTACACATATGCAGTAATGGTCAAAGTGAGCCAATGAAGCAATGAAGTAAAAAAAAAGTGTCACCTTTCTCCTCATGTCTCTTTCTCTTCTCGCGAGGAACAAATGTACCATCGGCCTTGGCAACAACATCTGATTTTGTTTTGGCATATTGTATTCTCTGTCCACATTGTTAAAGTTAGGAAATAATAATATAGCAAAGTGATTGATAAGTATTTCCACAACCTAAAACATGGTCAATAACCTAAAAGCAACCACTAAACATATAAAGGGTCTTTCAAATAGAATCCATGTGGTTCACTAAGAAAAGCTCTCTAATCAGTAGATTCAAACCCTAATTAGGTGTTCCACTAACTCTAGGGGCAAATAGGCAAACCAAAACACATCGAGTAAGAAGAAGTTATCAAGAAAGTAACTGGAGTGGAAGGAATTGGTACCATCTCCTTGTCGTAGAAAGGAAAATTATTCATTTTAGCAATAGCAGTGGAAGCAGACTCGGTGTTGTCGAAGACTACCCAAGCTTGTCCTTTGTGCTTAAAGGTCTTAAACGCCAATATCTCCAGTATCTTCCCGAACTGAGAGAACACTGCATTCAGCGATTTCTTCAGCTCTGTAGAACAAAGTTACCAATAACAACAATGAAGAGATCAATCAACTCAAATCGGAGGAGAAGAAGAAGATATACGAGACGATAAAAAAAAAAAATAAAAAAAAAGAAGAAATTAAGTACCATCAAGCTTCACTTTTTCGTTGAGATTGTTGATGTAAATCGTCTGATTCGGAGAAACCTCCGATCCTCCTCCTTGATTAGCCTCTTGCATCTCCATCGTCTTCACCAAATCTCTCCGTCGAATTCGGAGAAGATTATTAGCCGGAACCACCCAAAATCGAATTAATAAAAAAAAGTGAGGTTTAACTCTGTTCCTCCTAAAGCCCTAATAAGCCCATCAGTTAGCCCAATATTCTTATTAGTGGGCCGATTAATATATTTAGCCCATCAAAAACCCTAAACTGATACATATTATTAGTAGTTTCACTTCTTATCTTCACTCCCAAGCAATCTTCGGTTCTGCTTCTTTCTAGATTTTGACTCTCACTTTGGGCTTCTTCTGTGTGTTTCATCATTTTAGGGTATCGATTTGATAGCCGGAGGTAAGAGCAAGAAGACGAAACGTACTGAGCCTAAATCCGACGATGTCTATCTCAAGCTCCTTGTCAAGGTTGAGGATTTGACTGATTTTACTAAAAATCCATCAGAGATTATTTTTTTTTTCTTTTTTAGGCGAACCGATTTCTGGTGAGGAGAACAGAAAGCAAGTTCAATGCCGTGATTTTGAAGCGTTTGTTCATGAGCAAAGTGAACAAAGCGCCACTGTCTCTCTCTCGTCTGGTCCGATACATGGACGGAAAGGTTTGAATTTTGTTGTTGTTTAGGTTGTTACTGCATTGAGTTCAATGTTATGTTACTTGGTGGCGACTCATGAACTAATTCTGTGTGTGTGTGTTCGATTTTATTAGGATGGAATGATTGCTGTTATTGTTGGTACTGTGACTGATGATGTCAGAATCGAAGATGTTCCGGCTCTTACAGTTACTGCATTGAGGTTCACTGAGAGAGCTAGAGCTAGGATCCACCAGGCTGGTGGAGAGTGCCTCACTTTTGATCAGCTCGCTCTTCCGTGCCCCACTTGGTCAGAACACGGTATATCCCATTCTTGTTTCACTCTTAGTTCAGTTGTCGAAATGTGGAAACTTGTGCTAATCGTTTACTTGTTCGTGACGTATGTAGCTTAGTTCAGTTACTATGTCTCGTTTCATGATGATTGGAATTTGAGGTTACTGTCCTAACTTTCAAAATCTAGTGGCTTGTAAGCCTTTGTTTAAAAGGCTATCTCGATGAAAATTAGAGAATATCTATCTCGAGGACCACTTGTACTCAGTTTACAAGGGTTATATTTTCACTTTTTATTATTGCAGTAGCGATTGATGTAGCATTCCGTAACGATTGCAGGTTCTGCTTAGAGGTCCTAAGAACGCACGTGAAGCAGTGAAGCACTTTGGACCAGCTCCTGGTGTGCCTCACAGCCACACCAAACCGTATGTACGTCAAACTGGTAAAAAAATTGAGATAGCAAGAGGAAGAAGAAGGAGCAGAGGTTTCAAGGTCTAAGCCTAGGTACGAAACTTCATGGTCAGTCTGTGTATGACTTGAGTTTATCTTTTAACTATTATGGATTATACTTTTACATTGCTACTAGATTTTAACCCGCGGTATACCGCGAGGACAACTTATTTTTTAAGTTAGTATATATAAAAGTTTGCAA